ATAAATAACATTGTGAGAACATGAGTAGGTTCAAGTGATAAGACTTGGACTGACTTTGCGGGGTCGCATGTGGATAGTTCATAATCTGATAACCATTACAGAAACCTTGACAATTTTTTTGATTATGAATTACGTGGTAGCACGCAATTTTAGACATTTCAAATGAGGAGAATGGGTTCAGTTGCTGTACCAATTACAGAACGCTGAGGTGACTGTTTCTAAGGACGTTTTACAGGCAGTGGCATGGACAGAAAATGAGGTTGTGAGTATTATGTGGGTCTAAGATTTCAAACGCCATTGAGGTGATATGTGACGTTTAATTTCACTACAAACACTAACTGCTGATGTTTTCATCAGACAGTGAGTTGTGGATCCTATTAATAAACTGGAGTGCTGACCTAGTTGCATGGTCTCGAACTATTATTTAGGCTTTTTGGAGAATGCTATGACAAGTGGTAAGTGGATTTTACATAGCAATACTGAATCGGAACAAACCAAGCCAATTTTACCTTTGGGCAACACACTGTACATGGCTGTTGGTGATAAAATTGAAGGAGGTGCCACAGAGCCATATGATTTAGTACAACTTATGAAGCAAGAAGTGCCTAGTTTTTGTTGTAAAAATATTTTAACAGGCCATGAGACATACATCTTAAAATATAGCAAACTGAAGACAGCGTAAGATATGAACAGTCATCTCCAACACAAAGTCAGGGCACCCATTATCGACAATATAGTGGCATGGTAATTTCCACTTATGTGGTACTGGTCGGGGCCAGGGATAAGGATCAGCTGACAGTGCACCAACATTTTTGAAGTACTTGTAGACATATTATTGGAGGGGCAGAATTCTCTGATTTAGTTGGTTCTCAGACACTCATCTAATGTGGTGCCATGCTTCACAGAGGTTACTTGAGCCTTCACCATTATCAGACATGGCTGCAAAATCGGGTTTGTCAGACAGACATTGACAAGATCACAAGTGTTAATGACCTTGTCAAAGATAATGTATCAGTTCAACATTTCCTCGGCCAGGCCCAAAGCATCGCCACACATTTTCACAAAGTTGGTCGTAACATTGCTGCACAGCCGATAAATAAATGTAGATCCATATTTCAATGAATATCTGACAAAAGAACAGCAGAGGGAGATGCTGTTAGCACATATCCTCCTGACAATAACAATTCCAATGAATATCTGACAAAAGAACAGCAGAGGGAGATGCTATTAGCACATATCCTCCTGACAATAACAATTCTGCACTATTTAGGTTATTGTTTTCTTACACACAATAGCCAAATAAGGTCTGTACCAGAGCAGTTTTCACGTGACCTAGCAGCCTCATTATCCTCAAGACTAATTAGGCAACTCAGAGCTCTGATGAGCTTTGTGGGAATGTTTGATTCATGCAGGGCTTAATAGCTCAATCATCGCTAAGAATGCAGCCTCAAGTGGTCGTCAGATTTACCAAACATAAGGCACGGGGTACTGATTGATCCATCAACTCCAACCATACCACTGGTCAAGGACATCTTGAAAGTAGAATAGGTAGCCAACCGCATGTACACAAAAGTAAACAGAGTGGACTCAATTAGCATCTCAAACTGTATTGTAGGCAATAGCCTTGTTCCCCGTGGGGAACTCTCTTGATTGATCTGTTTGTCTCAACCAGAATCTCCATATACAAGTGGTATGGTATCTTGAATGTTGGTCAGTCAACCCAATGAGCCAACTGGCAACCATTTTGTTATAGTGAATGCAGTTCATAAACTTCATAGCTCATGTGACCCTATAATGAAATTACTTAAATTTTCTATATTTTATTGAATGATATACATTTGTTGAAATATAGGTCAATGTTCAGCTGTGTTGACACACACAATCAATTGCCTCTGTAGGTCAATAAAAATGAAATAACTGTTCAGACTGTACGTTTTCCCTTGTAAATTCTCTTGTTGTAACAATTGTTAAATATATTTATATTATGTATTCGAATTGCCACTTTTGGTCAGAGAACTGTCCAACCGACTAATATCCATAGTAATACCCCAAAAAAACAGCAATCACCTAATCCCACTATCTCCTGGGAATGAGGGTCATCATCTACATGTAATTTGAACAGGAATGAAGCTGATCACCTAATCTGACCATCTCTTGGGAATGGAGCTGACTACCTAATCTGACTTTGTTATGATAATTAAGCTAGGGCTGATCACCTGATATGGAAATAGAGCTGGGCTAATCACCTGATATGGAAATAGAGCTAGGTTGATCATCTTATATGGAAATAGAGCTGGGCGGATCACCTGATATGGAAATAGAGCTAGGTTGATCATCTTATATGGAAATAGAGCTGGGCGGATCACCTGATATGGAAATAGAGCTGGGCTAATCACCTGATATGGAAATAGAGCTAGGTTGATCATCTTATATGGAAATAGAGCTAGGTTGATCATCTTATATGGAAATAGAGCTGGGCGGATCACCTGATATGGAAATAGAGCTGGGCTGATCACCTGATATGAAAATAGAGCTGGGCTGATCACCTGATATGAAAATAGAGCTGGGCGGATCACCTGACATGGAAATAGAGCTAGGCTGATCACCTGATATGGAAATAGAGCTGGGCTGATCATCTGATATGACAATTGAGCTGGGCTGATCACCTGATATGAAAATAGAGCTGGGCTGATCATCTGATATGACAATTGAGCTGGGCTGATCACCTGATATGAAAATAGAGCTGGGCTGATCATCTGATATGGAAATAGAGCTGGGCTGATCACCTGATATGGAAATAGAGCTGGACTGATCACCTGATATGAAAATTGAGCTGGGCTGATCACCTGATATGAAAATAGAGCTAGGCTGATCACCTGATATGAATATAGAGCTGGGCTGATCACCTGATATGAACATCAATGGAAGCTTGTGGGATGGCGTGATTTCAGAGGGCATCACTGTCACTTGTTGATATAGACCATTCAATCTGTAATACGATATAATGGCCCATACATTGAAAGTAGTGTGCTTGTTCACTGTTTTTTAATTGGGTATGATGTTATTCTAGGTCCTCTGTACTTATGACAAAACATTGATAGATTGATTTATGTGGGTGTGGGTGTTTTAAATATAGTTGATTGTATACTGATGTAGGTAATATCTTTTACAAATACAAATGGAGATGCTACGTATATAAATGAAGATTTTACAAATACAAATGGAGATTTTACAAATAAAAATGGAGATTCTTCGAATATAAATGGAGATTTCACAAATACAAAGGAAGATTTTACAAATATAAATGAAGATTCTACGAATACAAATGGAGAATTCACAAATACAAAAGGAGATTTTACAAATACAAATTGAGATTCTACGAATAAAAATTGAGATTTCAAAAATACAAAGGGAGATTTTACAAATACAAAGGGAGATTTTACAAATACAAATGGAGATTCTACGAATACAAATGGAGATGCTATGTATATAAATGAATATTCTACAAATACAAATGGAGATTTCACAAATACAAAGGGAGATTTTACAAATACAAATGAAGAATCCTACGAATACAAATGAAGATTCTACGAATACAAATGGAGATTTCACAAATACAAATGGAGATTTCACAAATACAAATGGAGATTTCACAAATACAAATGGAGATTTCACAAGTACAAATGAATATTCCTACCAATACAAATGAAGATTCTACGAATACAAATGGAGATTTTTTGAATATAAATGGAGGTTTCACGAATATATATACGTTATTTATAAATATGAATGTAAATTCTTGCACAGAAATATTGTTAATGAATATTGCAACAGTCTGCTTTCCATAATAGAGGACTAGATAGAAAAAAATGAGGATGGTACAATATAATATACTCAATTTTGAGTTTCCTGAATAATTTACTGTTTCGTCCGTTAGTTGAAGTACTGTTCATTATTTTCTGCAGGAGAAGCATCAGGTTCATCATACTATTTTAATTATTACTGGAAAATTTTTGTTCAAATTGTCTAATACGTTCTGCAACGCTACTACTCACGCGCCTGGGACGTGGCTGTGTACGTTCTGCAAAACCGTGACTTCCTGCCACATTTCTTTGTATGTTACCGAACTTTGGAATGGAAATATCTGTCGTGCTTGTATCACTGCGTTCATGTCGTTCATTAGATTCGCTTTGGAGGTCTTCATCTTCACCAATGCTCGTTGTATTTCTTCGTGTGAATGTTCCAGGAGGTCCATGTTGATGATTATCACAGTTGCTGATATTCGGAATATAACTGGCCGATTCACCATGGTAATTACGCCCATTTCCTTGTTCTGTGCTGCTTGCTAATACAATCTCTGGTTTCTGAATAGAACACGATGTGTGTTGATCTTCAAATGTTCCAAGGTTTCCATGCAGCTTTATGTCACCAGGTTTGAAACGTGGGAGGGAATTAGCTACCTCGTTCCACTTCGCTTCCACTGATGTCATGGTTTGCAACTGATCAAGCGTGTCCTTGCTATCCTTCATAATCTGTGCAGCATTGCCAAATTTCACTAAATTTTCCATGAACGTTGTTGTACTTGTGAGTAATTCCTCAGTTGTTTCAAACTGACGAATCTGTCTCTTGATCTCTTCATTCATTACACCATATTTCGAACCTAATTCACTCAACCTCTTGTCCATTTGTTGACTAATCAACTTCTTTAGTTTAGATATGGTGTCATGTGCGTGCTTAGTAATCTTCCGTTGTTCTCGTGCGTGGGATGTCTTCAGGACTTCGGATCTTTTCATCGCTTGTGATTTGTTTTGATGTGCGACTTTCTGTTTTTCTTTCCATGTATCAATGTAGTAAGACACTACACCACGGAACTCATCGACTGCGACGTTCATGTCGATAACTCGATGTCCACTGTGGCCAGATTGGTTGCATATGCGGCAAATGGGTGTTTGGCACGCTTGACAGTAGAGATCAACAGTGTGTTTCTCATGAAGTGTGCATGATTGGACACCAGTCTTCAGTTTCTGTTCCTTTACCATTACAAGAACTGTATTTATCAGCATACTTGATTGCAGTTGCTCAACGCGTTCAACTGAACAAGGACTTCGACAAACTGGACACCTGTGTTCACGTTGCACAAACAATTTCGCCAAACACTGTTCACAGAAGGAATGCTGACATGGCAACATTCTTGGTCTATTGTAACGCTCCAAACAGACCGGACATTTCAGTAGTTCTTCACTAATCTTCTCGACTGATATACTTGTAGCCATTGTAACTTCCTTGAATGTGACGACCTGTATAAGGATCAGATCTGAATTTAACACGCTACCATCACATCTATTTTGGTGTTGTAATGAACGATAGCCCTGTCCAATCAGGTGCTTGGATACACAAATATTCAAAATCGTTATTAGAACTGACAACAATTTGTTGTCAATCAGCCACCCAAACATTAGCATATCGCAAATACTGGCATGAATGTTATCTTTATAGACAGAACATTAAATTCAATAGTCGACAGAGTAGACTATAAATGTGGGTTATTTATCTCAATCACAAATGTTATAATCTAGCGCGAGAATAATAAATTTAAAACATAAAGATCCCATAAACTGGCGTTGACACCAGTAATTCTTACAAGGAATATAAATGTGGCAGTCATTGGGGAATGCGCACAATGGCACTAATTTGTGTTGACCATATATTTTTGTCTTTTGTGTTTTTTTTTTAACTGAGCAATAATAATGTACAATGATACACTAATAAATATATACATATAAACGTATCGGGACATTAAACTAATATTGTGTTAGCTCTATGTTGCAATCATCATACATAGACTGTGACACTCAAATTAATATCAGGACGCCAATGCACACACAGTATCCTTTGTAAATGGTCGCCGATTTGGTACCTTTTTGCCGGATAATTTCCTTTAAATTCCACCTTTATGTCGGCCTATTGATTGTCAATTAATCAATTTAAACACATTGCAATAAATATTTTACTGTCCTAGACTAGGCGGTACCTTGTATTATGCTAAACATGCCAAAATCGTTCAAAGCTAATCGTTGGGGCGCTTTTTGTACATTTGAGTGAAGAGACAAGAAATTGTTTGCCAGTAACATGTAATTAATAATAAGAAATAAATTCACATAGCATAAAACGTATGGTTCTCTACACAATAAAACTTCATGCCACATTGTTTTGAA